TCCCTTTCACGAATAGAATTTTCCCATCTCTTCTTTTTCTGTAGGAGCTCCAAGTCTGAAGAGGTAGATATGCCTCGGAGAATTGAAGCTCAGACTAGAGTTAATGTTGAAGTAGAGCTTCTATGGAGGACTTTTGCCGAGGAATACAGTGTGAGTTGGCCAAAAGTAAATCCTGAGATTGTCACGAATGTGGAGATATTACAAGGAGATGGTGGCCTTGGCTCTCTCATCTTGCTGCAATTCAAACCTGGTATGACCTAATTCAAACTGTTTCTAATTTCCAGTCTGTAATTATTCGAGTGCTGAATTTTATGGTCATGGTATGAGGTTAAGAGTGACATTGCTGATAATAACTGATGAGAGGAAAAGTGTTTAAGCAGGTGGACCGACGGTAGCATATCAGAAGACGAAGATAGTGGAGTGTGACAAGGAGAAGCACCAGCTGGGTTTGCAAGTATTGGAAGGTGGTCATCTAAGCAAGATAGTGGAGTGTGACAAGGAGAAGCACCAGCTGGGTTTGCAAGTATTGGAAGGTGGTCATCTAAGCAACGGTTTTACCAAGTATGAAACTTACTTCAAGCTAACACCTCTGGATGATTCCAATACGTTGGTGGATGTAGCTGTAGAATGCGAGCCTTTGATGTCACCAGAAGAAGAAAACCAAGAAGCAGGAGAAGAAGAGCTGAAGGCCAAGACGACAAATTTCCCACTCCTCTTCTTTGAAAGATTGGAGGCCTACCTAAACAAGCACGCAGCAGCGGGATGAGCTGTGGACAAATTTACGTCACACTTGTTTGTGTCTATATGCTGGGGCTGGGTGTAATATTGTATTATTGGAGCCAATAATGGTCTTCTTCTTCTAGTCCCTCTGGAGTTCAGTTCGTGTTTGATTCTTGTTAACTTGGTAAATGAAGAGCATGCTGCGACGAACCGTCTTGTTGCCCGCATAATTATGTCTTTACTGGATTAATTGGCTAAATCTCAGGAAAATCATCTTCGATCAGGCAGCACCGTTTGATTTTCATGCATGGTACAAAAAACTCTGTATTTTTGATATGAGAAGGCTAGATAAAACTCTGGCTTCTACTCCTTTATACAAGTGGTAAAACCCAAGATTCACTATTCATGTTACAGTAATATTTTACTATAGTAACATGAAGATGGGCAGTGTTTTCTAAAAAAATATTATTGTAACACATGAGAAAACTGTAGCAGGGATACTGTAGCAATTCAGGAGAGGAGGCTATGGAAGTCGAATTCCCTCTGCTCTGCTCTGCTCTCTCATCTTTCATCTCTCTGAAATTTATGGCATCTGTGCAATATATAGTTTCTTCTCTTGCGTATGGGGGACTGAAATGAAAGGGAAGAACCCGATGCGCGATGCAAAGAAGGTAGGCCTCACGTCTCGTTTCTTCTCTTCCCTATTCGCTCTCTTTCTTTTCCAGATAAAAGATGCGAGTTTTAGGCGCTGTAGCTCTGTGACGTACGTGGGTTTTTGATCTGGAGGGAGATTTCTCAGGCCACTGAGTTTATTACGAACAGATTGTACCCATGAACAGCTCATCAATTTTGCATTGAAATCAAGCCCAATTCAAGTTTGCTGTGGATGCGTATGTAAAGGACTTCGGCCTTTTTGTTTTTTTAAGCTTTATTTCAGCCTAAGCAGGAGAGGACTATACTCATCATATATAACTATTGCTAATAATTTAATATCAATGACTATGTAAAGTAGTAATAATAGTTTAAGTAACAATAATGTAGAAACAAATTATAATACATACATTTATCAAGAAGATTCATTTATAATGTAATAGTTTAACGGTTCAAGATATTAACTCAATCCAATAACCCTAATTATATCAATGACCATGTAAAGTAATAATAATAGTTTAAGTAATTATAATAGCTTAAGAATAATGTATGGAAACAAATTATAATACCTACATTTATTAATAAGATTCATTTATAATGTAAGAGTTTAATGAATCAAGATATTATCAAAATCCTAACTCAATCCAAGAACCCTAATAAATTGTTCACGAATCTAAATTTTAATCCAAGAATCCAACTATAAAATCCCAGTCATTGTCCAAATCCTAGAAAATAGGATTAGTAAACAATTGTCCCAGTTCTAACCAACAATCGTAAACCTGGGTTACCCATTTCCACCATTCTACATGTTTTCCATCCTAACCGAACAACCCCTTATTACTGAATTGGAAATGATTCCAATACTTCGTTACGAGAGGTTTTATACCATCATATATATATTAGGCATCAAGGAAATTTAAGTGCAAATATCATAGAAAGTTTATTGGGAACTTGATGAACGTGTTAAATTTCACTCAGTCCATAATCATATGTGCAATATTGATGTTAATTTGTAGGAATTACATAGTTGGGAGTGGATAATATATGGGGGACTAGAAGCATTTCTAAATACTTCAAAATACATAGCTTTTTTCATGCCAAAACAAACAAAAAAGTACAGAAAATAATGGGTTATACCCCATAAAAATCGTAAATTTTGGGGAAAAACTTAATTGTTGTTGGTTTGAACAAATAAAGATGGACAAAATTCATGGGTTATAATTCATAAAAATTGTGAATTTTGAAGCGCATATATTTATGTGTCATTGGCTCGAAATGAATAAAAATTGACAAAACTTGTGGGTTGCATCCAATGAAGATTCTGAATTTTGCAGATGAACCATTAGTTGGCTTTTGTTGAAACAAACAAAAATAGACTAAAGTTGTGGGTTAAATGAACAAAAAATGGACAAACATCCTAGATTATAGCCCTTGAAATTTGTAAAATTTTAACTACAAATAATTAGAGGCTATTTGATTGATTTCGTAAAAAAAAGAAAAAGAAAAATGTGATTTTGGGAAAGGAAACAAGTGCGGGTGTGATTGTGAGTCCCAGTTTTAGGGTTTCGATCTACTTCCAAAAAAACCTAGAATGAGTTTCCATAAAAGTCCAGATGATTGTTGTAGTTTTTACTACTTTTGTGGTCCCCAACTCATGATTTTTTCGTTTCTTATTGCCAACCAAACAACAAAAGGGGAAATGAGAACATGTAATAGACTTCCATTGTTAATATTTTTTTTCCTATTCCTTATGTCTTAAAACCTAGCCAGACAGCCCCTTAATTGCCATTGGGTCAAAAATAAACGAATGAATAATAATCATGAGTTATTGTTCATATAATCAAGAATTTTAAAATATGTGTACATAACTGTCATTGGGTCAAGGGTCAATGGACAAAAAATCGTGGACTAGCATATGAAAATTAAGAATTTTATATCAACCGTAGTTAATTGTCATTGGGTAGAAATGAAATAAAATTACGTAGTTCATAAAAATTACGAATTTTGAAGTATCCATGCACATTTGCCTTCAGGGTTGTGGAAAGCAGAAAGCAAAGCGAAGCTGTGAGGCACCGCTTAGGGTTTTTGTGGCTTAAGTGGTTCAAAGCGTAAAAAAGTGCAGAGGAAAAGAAGCGATCTAAATCCCATTAAAATTATAAATATGGATAAAAAAATTTCAAAAATACTTAATCAAGTTTAGACCCAAATAAGCGCATTAGAGTTGTATATTGGAAGTACTTGAGGTAAGGAAGAGAAAATTAGCAAAAAATGTGAAAAATGAAAGCATACAGGTGTGGACGCTGCTGCTACCAATAACGAGAGAGCTCAAGAGGAGGCGTCATCATGGGCGAATTAAACTTGCTGGGGCCTGGGGGGTGGAGATTGTTGGAGGTGGAGATGGTTTTGGAGGGTGTAATATATTTTTTCAGTTCATGCGGAGATTTTGTTGTTTGGGTGAACTTGTCGAGGAGGCTTTAGCGTCCAGAGAACCTCACATGAATCTGGGTGAGCTTCGATGGAGAAGAAGAGGTGGACAAGTTAAATGATTCTCTGCTGGAGAAGAGGACTTGTTGAGGTGGACAGAGAAGGCGGACAAGGCTGAAGGCAAATAATTTAGGATGTAGGGTTTTTTGGGTTCGAAACACAGAGGAGAGGATTACGATGCGAAAGAGAAAGGGTTTAAGTTTTAAAAGTTAGGCCGAGATGGGTTGCCGTATGAAAGGGTTGCTTACCTGCTCTTAAATTTGTTATCTTTCCGAAAGCGCTTAATTCCATGAAAGAGATGAAAATGAAGCGGCCAGGGACCTCCAATTAAAAAGCCACCCTTTTATAGCTTTTTTCTCAACATTGTTTGCCATTGTATGGAAACATTCAAAAATTTACTAAAATCATGAGTTATGACCCATAAAAATTGTAAATTTTAAAGTATTCCGGTTAATAATTATGGGGTCAAACCGGATGAAATCTTACAAAACTCATAGGTTATAGCTTATGAAATCAAGAACTTGGGGGAAAAACTTATTTGCCATTGGTTAAATTGAATGAAAGTGGATAATAATTTGTGGGTTTTAGCCTATGAAAATCATGAAATTGTAATCACATATTCATGTTCCATTGGGTCAAAACGTGTGAGAAAATTAACAACAATCGTCAAATATAGTCCATGTAAATTGCAAATTTCTAAGAATAAAAATTTAATTGCCATTGAGTTGAAACAGATGAAAATGGATAAAAATAATAGGTTTTAACCTACGAAATCACGAATTTTAGAATACACATCTAAATTACCACTAAGTTGAAGGAACGACAACGGTAAAAAAGGTTAAGTCCATGAAAATCGTGAACTTGTATGTAAGGATAGTTAATTGTCACTGGGTTGAAACTTGTTAATTAGATGTTATTGATATTTAGATTTAGGAGATATTGTTAACTATTATGATATGTGATTGGATATGACTCTATTTTATACCTATTTTGTAGTATCCTCCTAATCTACATTTAAGCGAGGTTAGGGTTAGATGAATAATAATCTTTGCCTTCTCTATTCCTCTACATGGTATCAGAGCCTACTTGATCCTAGCAACTTCTTCCAACTTTCTAAATCGCAAGGCCATAGAGGGGTTTTGCATAACCTTCATGCTGCCCTTGGCGGCTACGATAACATCTTTTATGGCTCCGACATCTTTGATTTCTACATTATTTGTTTACTAAATATTTGTTGAATCTCAATAAAAATAGCCTTCCCCTTGAAAAGCCCTAATCCCAAAAGGGAAAAAGGGCACTGTTAATCATGGCACTGTTCATCAATGAATAGTATGTGTTGTATTGTTAATTGTGAACAATATCTCTCTTCTTCATCTTTTGATGGATGCAAAAATATATGTTGATTTTGACATTGTTTCTATTGGCTGTTCTGCCTAAGATTTCTTTTTATTAGCTAACCCGCCTAGGGATTTTCTCTGCTAGTTGACCCTTTTAGGGTTTCTACTAACTAACCAGCCTAGGTTTTTCTCTACTGATTGACCCGCCTAGGGTTTATGCTGATTGATCCGACTAGGATTTCTAATGGTTGTTTCTATAGTTTTCTGATTACTGACATATTCAAGTATTTTAGACAAAGATGACATTGTCAATGCTCTTGAAAGTAGTTATTTTATTTCAATTGGTAACAAACTGGATATATATAATAATATATGCTCCAGCTTGAGGGGAAGTGTTATTACGGGATGTGATTGTATATGATTTTATCTTATACTTATTTGCAATATCCTCCTAATCTCTATTTAGGAGAGGTTATGGTTGGATGAATAATAATATTTGCCTTCTCTATTTCTCTACAAAACTAATAAAAATAGAAAAATTTGCCATTGGTTAAAATGAATGAAAATGGACAATAGTTTGTGGGTTCTAGCCCAAGAAAATCATGAAATTTTAATCACATACTCATATACTATTGGATCAAAATGTGTGAAGATCGATAAAAATCGACGCATATAACCCATGCAAGTCGAGAATTTCCACTAAGTTGAAGGAACAACATCAGAAAAAAAACATT